CAGAGTCTAATTTTAGACACCAATGCTAATTCTCAAGTATTTTATATCATTTTAAAATTAAAACATTTAAAGTTCGCAAGTATAAGCCCCGTTCATTTCTCCGATTCGAGTTTTGCTACAGTAAATAGCTCTCAGAAACAGTCACATCTAATTTTTTGTTACAGTAAAAAGCTCTCACATAAAGTTACATTTCAACTCGAATTAAAAACTCAAATCAGCAAACAAAACGGGTCCTATTTTTCTAACGTAATTCCTGCACTAGGTTAGCAAGTGTATCGTTTATTTTGCAATTTCAAAAGTATATCATACTGTCGGCATTGGTGCTGGGAATTCTTAAGGTTTAATAGAACAACCGTAAAACGAAAAATCAAAGATTTATGATAAACTCTAGTGACGACTTCTAAGAGATTTTTACTGTAAGATGTGACTGTTTATAGAAAAAAAAATAGATATTACTGTTTTTTAGAGCTTTTTACTGTAATAAAACTCGAATTTTAAACTCAAATCTGTAAAATGAACAGAGTCCAAAACTCTGACCTTTTCTTTTTGAAAATGAAACACGAGTTTTTGAAACTTGTTTTTCCACGAGAATGACTTTGATCAAAATATCATTGGTTAATTGGTTTTAATAAGACCGTTGTGATGGCCACTGTCGGTTCTTATATCATCACTACAAATTACAATACAATTTCAAGAGCTGCATTATTGGTTGCATATTTATTGCTTTCTTCCTATTTCTTCGACATCAGGGGCATATATTGTAACAATTGGAGCAAATAATGCTGCAAGTTTCCAAGAAAGAGAAGTAGCAAAATTATCACAATTTGCAACTGGTCAATGGAAAGTTTTGGGAGATTTTTATCATTTGAATTTTGTTAGATAATCAATTACCATTATCTGTTGAATTTTTCAGTAACCAATCAGATTTCATTCTTAAATGTTTCGTATTCATGGCCAAAATCTAAAGAAACACTTTCCATTTCTCGAATAATACAAGTAAAACAGAGTTTTGATGGTAACGGACAACTGTGGCTGCAGGCAAAACTTAGAATAATTCCACATCTGACTTTGTTAAAAAATAAAAATAAAAATAAAATAAAATAAAATAAAATAAAAACTCTGAAAGATCAGTTACAATTGTTAAAACGTTACTTTATTGTCGTCCTTACCATAGTAATTATTCAGTTGTATGTGTGATTTGAGAATTGAGAGAATAATCAGTCCCTTAATTTCATACCATATTATATGGTCCTTTAAGAAAGTGGGCCATAAATCTTTCAAAAATACTAGTTTTCACACTCGAATATAATGTTATTGATTAATAACGAATAATCATCGAATTAATCAGTGATAAATTAAAGTTAATAAATGATAGACTGTTAAATTAATCAGTTATAGACTAATCAATCAGTAATTGACCACTAAATTAACTAAAAAAACCAACTAATTTGATAATTTTATAAAAGTTTGACCATTTATTTAAAAGATTTCTAAAAAAGCCATTTGCCTCTATATCCCATTAATGTTTACCATAATATATAAACTGGATTATTTGCAGTTTTGCCCTTGAACTTATAGGGGTTTTGCGGGTTACCACTTGAGCTTTTAATGTTATCAATTTACTCCAACTTACAAAAGAGTTGTTATGTGCTCCATTTTGATGATGATACTTAGTGACGAAAAAACATGTTTGATGAGAAATTTCAACATCAGAATTTAAACCGTAACATAAATGTCTCAATCTCCAACTCTCAATCTTGAAATCTGATGAAAAATCATAAAGTTTATAAAATAAGGCACATTACAACTATTTTACAAGTTAAAAAGATTAATTATCAAAACTAACAGCAGAATACAAATCTGCACAATACCGTATGTATACCACCACAACTAATCTTTTGTTTGGAAAACATTTATACCAATTCTACTTTTTATATTTTCCTTAAAAAAAAAAAAAAAAAAAAAAGAACAACTACCTTGATATAGCAACAGTAATTTCATTATACCAAGCTACTATGGAAGACATAAATCAAAATGATTTTTTAGGGTCTACATGAAATTTTTCGGGGTTTCTTTTTATTTTTGCTATAAAGTGTTCAAAATCCGCTCATTATCTTGGTGGGGGAAAAAAAGTGCAAAGAACAATTCTCAGAGTATAAATCAAACCAAATGTATATTTGTTTAATTACTTATACCTGTAATTGAAAAATATATAGGAACAAAAACTCCGCTCTGCAGCCAAACTTTTTTCTACCCAAACATCAGATCACATAACATTTCAATATACACTAGATAAACTATATATGGGTAATAAAGAATTAGGGATATTTACATTTTTATACTCTGTGTTTTAAGTTTATTCAAAAAATAAATCTTCAGTTTTTAATCTCATCAAATGTAAACCTTTATATTAGATTTAATACTCAAATTTATACATTTTCAAAGTCAGCCCTCGATTTTAAGCACACAAAACAATTAAAGTACCCTTAAATAAAAATAGAAAAGAAAAAAAAAACTAAAAACAAACTAAAAAAACTTTAATCATACGGTTTTAAACCTTAAAATATCCAAAATACCATTAAATTGGGGTCTTTTTTGTTTTTATTTTTTATTTTTTGTATTGTCGGAAAGTTTTAGCTTTATTTTCTCTATTTTTAACGATTGTTTGGTCATTTTAGAGGTCAAAATCAACTATTAACCGAGATAAGGGATATATTTATATATTAGATCAAATTTGAAGGTACACATTCGATGAGATAAAAAACAGAAGGTGTAGATTTAAAATAAACTTAAAATATAGGTTATAAAAATGTAAATACCCCTAAAGAATTATATGGTTCACTTAAAAAAAAAAAAAAGAATGGCCAGAGTCTAATTTTAGACGCCAATGCTAATTCTCATGTATTTTATATCATTTTAAAATTAAAACATTTAAAGTTTGCAAGTATAAGCTCCGTTCATTTCACCGATTCGAGTTTTGCTAGAGTAAATAGCTTTCAGAAACAATCACATCTAATTTATTGCTACAGTAAATAGTTCGTTAGGTCATTTTAGAGGTCAAAATCAATTATTGATCGAGATAATAGATAGGTTTGTATATTAAATCAAACTTGAAAGTGCACATTTGATGAGATCAAAACCCGAAGGTATTGATTTAACATAAACTTAAAATATAGGTTATAAAAATGTAAATATCCCTTAAGAATTATATGGTTCACTTAAAAAAAAAAAAAGAATGGCCAGAGTCTAATTTTAGACACCAATGCTAATTCTCAAGTATTTTATATCATTTTAAAATTAAAAGATTTAAAGTTCGCAAGTATAAGCCCCATTCATTTCATCGATTCGAGTTTAGAATTCTAGTTTTGCTACAATAAATAGCTCTCAGAAACAATCACATCTAATTTTTTTGTTACAGTAAAAAACTCTCACATAAAGTCACATCTCAAATCGAATTAAAAACTCAAATCAACGAACAAAACGGGCCCTAACGTAATTCACGCACCAGGTTGGCAAGTGTATCGCTTATTTTGCAATTTCAAAAGTATATCATATTGTCGGCTTTGGTGTTGGGAATTCTTAAGGTTTAATAGAACAACCGTAAAACGAAAAATCAAAGATTTATGATAAACTCTAGTGACGACTTCTAAGAGCTTTTTACTGTAAGATGTTTCTGTTTGATTGTTTTTTAGAGCTTTTTACTGTAGTAAAATTTAAATTCTAAATTCAAATCGGTGAAATGAACGGAGCCTAAAACTCTGACCTTTTCTTTTTGAAAATAAAACACGACTTTTTGAAACTTGTTTTTCCTGACTTTGATCAAAATATCATTGGTTAATTGGTTTTAATAAGACCGTTGTGATGGCCACTGTTGGTTCTTATATCATCACTACAAATTACAAAACAATTTCAAGAGCTGCATTATTGGTTGCATATTTATTGCTTTCTTACTATTTCTTCGACATCACCGGCCTATATTGTAACAATTGGAGCAAATAATGTTGCAAGTTTCCAAGAAAGAGAAGTAGCAAAATTATCACAATTTGCAACTGGTCAATGGAAAGTTTTGGGGGATTTTAATCATTTGAATTTTCTTAGATAATCAATTACCATTGTGTGTTGAATTTTTCAGTAACCAATCAGACTACTTCATTCTTAAATGTTTCGTATTCATGGCCAAAATCTAAGGAAACAATTTCCATTTCTCGAATAATACAAGTAAAACAAAGTTTTGATGGTAACGGAAAACTGTGGTTCCAGCTTCCAGCTTCCAGGCATAACTTAGAATAATTCCATATCTGACTTCGTTAAAAAAAAAAAAAAAAAAAAAAAAAAAAAAAACTTAAAGCTCAGTTACAATTATTAAAAAGTTGCTTTATTCTCGTCCTTACCATAGTAATTACTCAGTTGTACGTGTGATTTGAGAATTGAGAGAATAATCAGTCCCTTAATTTCATACCATATTATGGTCCTTTAAGAAAGTGGACCATAAATCTTTCAAAAGGACTCGTTTTCACACTCGTATATAGTGATAGCGCATACGTGACAAAAGATGTCTTCCAAGAGCATACTTTTCTCCACAGGTCACTGTCTTTCATTTATAGCAAAACCACGGTTGCAACTTGGACTTATCTCTATAATATATTGTATACGCTATTAATAAGGGTTACATATATATATATATATATATATATATAGACACACACATATAGATATATATATCCCATTTCTCTTCATTCTTATCACTACAGCAATTCTAAAATCTCTATTCCAAAATGAGGACACTTTACCTCATATTTTGCTGCTTCTTTGCAGCACATTCTTTGACTTCCTCTACGAGTACTTCACCAAGTTCACGTCCAAGATGCCTTCATGAGCAGAGTTCTATTCTGCTACAATTCAAACGAGAGTTTCCTCTCAAAGAGCCAGAAGATTTGTTAAACGACTACGATTATCCGAAAATGGAGACGTGGAAGGCCGAAAAAGATTGTTGTTCATGGGACGGGATTGAATGCGACACAACCGGTCATGTAATAGGGCTAGACCTCAGCAACAGCTCTCTTGAAGGACCTTTGCATTCCAACAGCAGCCTCTTCAGCTTGACTCATCTTGAAAATCTCAATCTCGCCTACAACCCGAAATTTTCGGGTAGATTATCGGATTCGAGTGCTAGCAATCTCAAATCCTTGAATGTTTTGGATCTGAACAGCTGTAATTTTTCTGGGATAGTTCCAACTTCAATTGGCAACCTTTCCCAATTAACGTATCTTGATCTCTCAAGCAACAACTTCAGTGGTGAAGTACCAACTTCACTTGGAAGACTCACAAAGCTGGAACATCTATCTCTGCAGAAAAATCGGCTCATCGGCCGAATTCCGTCTTGGCTTGGAAACCTCACTGGGCTAACTCTGCTGCAGCTTTCACATAACAATTTCAATGGCGAGTTCCCGATATCACTGGCAAACCTCACTCAACTCGATTCGTTGTATCTCTCTTTCAATCAGTTGGTTGGTTCAATCCCATATGAATATGCCAACAGAATTTCCAACTCAATGTTGCTTTCAATGCTTGACCTTTCACACAATTCTTTCAATGGCACAATTCCTCCATCTTTGTTCAGAATTCCTTCTTTAGTGAGCCTAAATTTGGACTACAATCAGTTTACAGGCCCTCTTACTATCCAAAATGTGTCCTCATCCCAACTGACTGCTCTGTATTTAAGACGGAACAACCTCAACGGGCAGATTCCGGCGTCGATATCTGAATTGACAAGCCTTACAGAACTCTACCTCTCCTTAAACAACTTCAGTGGCGAAATCGAGTTGGGCGCCTTCTCAAATCTGATCAGTCTTGATCTTTCATACAATAGTCTTACTATTACAAGCACGAGCACAATGTTCGCTCTTGCGGTCAACTTTTATTCTTTACTTTTGGCTTCATGCAATATCAAGGAATTTCCCAAGTTCCTGGAGACCCAAAATGAGTTGTGGGAATTGGATCTTTCCCATAACAAACTTGAAGGCAAGATTCCGAAATGGTTCTTCCGAGTCGGAACAGAGTCCTTGGCTAGACTAGATCTTTCCAGCAATCTGATCACTGGTTGGGAACAAGAGCCGTCAATTCTTCCATGGGAGGCATTAGCGTATCTCGATTTGCGTCACAACAAGTTTCGGGGTTCACTCTTTGTCCCACCATTTTCCACAGTTCACTTCTTCATTTTCAACAATAGCTTAACTGGAAATGTTGATCCAATTTTTTGTGAGCTGCATAATCTAAAAGTTCTTGATGTGTCCAATAACAACTTAAGCGGTGAGATTCCGCGGTGTTTGGGTTCCAATAGCTCTCTTTTGATGTTGAATTTGCAAAGAAACAACTTCCATGGAGAAATACCCCCGACGTGCGAAGAAAGAAGCGTTTTGAAGACACTAGACCTCAGCCACAACCAGCTTCAAGGGAAAATTCCGAAATCTTTGGTGACATGCAAAGAGCTAGAAGTTCTGAACATTGGTCACAATCAGATAAGTGACCGATTCCCTTTCTGGACACAGAGTTTGCCCAAGTTACAAATTCTCGTATTGCGTTCGAATAAATTCGATGGTCCAATATGGCATCCTCGTGAGTTTTCAGGCTTCGAGAATCTGCGTATGATCGATCTCTCCTTCAACAATTTTGGTGGAGTTTTACCATCAGAGTACTTTAGGAATTGGAGTGCCATCAATACAGAAATTCCATACGTAAACAAGTCGAAATTGAGATACATGGGAGACACATCCAACTACTATCAAGACTCAGTGACTGTGGCATATAAGGGCTTGGATACGGTACTTGTGAAGATCCTGACCACCTTTATGTCCATCGATCTCTCACACAATAGTTTTCATGGGGCAATTCCAAGTTCCATAGGAGATCTTAAATCACTAGTTGGGCTCAATCTATCTGGCAACAATTTCGGCGGGTCCATCCCGACATCTCTCGGGAAACTGAGTGAGCTCGAATCATTAGATCTCTCAAAAAACAATCTTTCTGGTAAAATCCCCTATGAACTTGTGAGTCTTACATTTCTTCAGCATCTCAACCTTTCTGATAACAAACTTGTTGGTCCAATTCCGCATGGTAAGCAGTTTGATACATTTGAAAATTCCTCTTTTGGTGGAAACTTAGATTTGTGTGGCTTTCCATTGGCAAAGAAATGTACTGAAAGCGACGATGAGCAACCAAATTCTGACCATGGACAAGACTCAGAATCAGAGAATGGCTTTGGTTGGAAAGCAGCGCTGGTGGGGTATGGATGCGGAATTGTAATTGGATTGGTCGTCGAACACGTGCTTGTCTCGCGGCGACCAACCTGGTTCTCAGGAATTTATAGGAGAATCTCACTGACACCATAAAGAATTTGTATTTTATTTCTCCTTCTAATTTTCAAAGTTTTAGTACGCATGTTTCTCTTTGTCCCCTGTTTCTATCAAGTTTAAAAAATATAGCGTTGTATGAATGGGAGTATGGAATGTCATAGTAATGCTTTGTTTCAATAAGTTGTCTTGATTTAATCATGGCACATTGGTATTGACAGGAAACGTAGAAGGTTGAAAGATCTTTGAAGCGTTTCAACTTAGTATTTGCTATTGCTTTTGAATTTGTTCTAAAAGTGTTTTAAGAAGATTCATCTTAGTATTACTCTTAGCTTCTGTTATTGAATTTAATCTAAATAATTTTGGGCAAGAATTGATTTATTGTAGCAACAATCTGAAAACTACCCTGTTTTCAATGTTGTACCCTTCTAGTTTTTTCAGTTTAACATATACTATCCCATGAAAGAAAAAAAGCACATTAACATACATTAGACCTAGTTGTGAGTTCAAATAATTGACTTCATTTGGAAGTTTTTGTTGAATCCACCACAGAAAAAAAAAAAAAAAAAAAAAAACACTAATCTCAAGTATTTGATCAAAATCTCAGAATGAAGAAGACAATCTTGAAAGTAAACTGAAGGACTTTTATTGCTGACTTCCACAAGTTACAGACTCAATTCTTTGTTCTTGATCTTACACAAAGAACCTTTCAATTTCTACCTCTCTCTTGTTACTTTCCGACCTAGTCACTCAGTCTTTTAATTCTGACTAATAAAACCTCCACATCAGCAACTTCTAATCAGGATACTAATCAGCGGCCACCAGAAATTAAGGGTACGTTCATTTCATGACTTAGAGTCATGACTCAAGTCATATTGCTACAGTTTTCTTACAAAATTTAAATTTAATTTTTTTACTATAGTGTTTTTTTCTCATATACATAACTCAAGTCATATAAAAAAAAAAAAAAAAAAACCCTAAGTTTTTTTTTGTTTTTTTTGGACACAAACAGCTGTATGACGTATGACTATATGAGACAGGGAGGGGGGAAAAAAAAGAATTAATCAGAGAAAAAATAACCCATTTTCTATTTATGTATGGTGTTAAATATGCCGTTAGCATTATTCTCTCCAAAACATATATAGATTGCGTAGACATGGATACATAAGCCTTTGCAATTTGCATATTAAAGGCAATGATAAGGAGCAGTGGTCTTTAAATTTAGCTTCGTCCCTAACTAAGAGGGTCCCACGAATGGGGTAACACCAAGCGTGCCCCAAGTATTTTTCATCACTAGTTGAAGCCACATGCTATAATCGTGAGGGTAATTTCGTCAGTTCCATTTTTTATTAAGTTTTGATTATTGTGTTATTATTTTTGTTTTTTTAATAACAGAAATCTTGGTTAGTTGTTAGATAATACACAATTAATAAAAAAGTATTATTTCACCAGGAATTAAATAAAGATGAGAGAAAGAACGATGGACTAAAAAAAAGAAGCAAATAAAAAAGGAAAGGAGGACCAAAAACAACAAAAGGAAGAAAAGAAGAAAAAAAAAAGAAACATACTAAAACAAGAAGATATAGTGGTTAAAAAAATGATAAGAAAGGGTGCGAGAATAAAAACCAAAAAAAAAAAAAAAACAGAAAAGCAAAAGAAAATAAAATTTTGAGAGACTAAAATGATAATAAGACTAAAATGAGACTAAAACGAGGAGTAAAAGATAATCTAAAAAGGAGTTAAAAAAATATCTCAAAAGAAGTATAGTTAGTTTGGCGCACGATCTAATAACACGATTGCTCTAATTACATCAAGTTTGAATCTAATCTCTTTATAGAGAAAACTAATTAAGGTGTCGTATAGTTCACCGAATTTTTTAATTTTAACTGAGATGTAACATTATGTGAAAGTTTTTAACTCTAACAGAAAAAGTTAGATGCGATTTTTTGTGAAAGATCATAACTATAGCAAAACTGAAATTAAAAACTCAAATAAGTGAAATGAATTACGAGGCATAAGTTTGATTTTCAAGATGAGAACTCAAGTCTCAAAAGTTCAAAAACTGTGGCAAAAATTTCCCTTCTAAAAATTCTTTTTTGTTAACTGGTTAGATTTCGTATATTTTCCTCAAAAAAAAAAAAAAAAAAAGTTAATTTTCATGCTGACATGATCATCGAAGAAGAAATATGGTCCTTCTGGAAGACCATATAAGACATATATGATCAGTGAAAAGGTGTGGAAATCTACAAAATACATGCACGCAAGGACTTTAGAGGCGACGGTTTTATGAAAATCAAGGTCTATAGCCCCAGCTTCCGCTGCCAGTGCCTAAAGTTGCTTTTGTGACAAACGGCATCTATCAAACAGTGTTTAATATTCACTTTGTACTAATATTGATCATATGAGGACATGAAAGTTATATAGGTCATTAACAACTACAAGTCTTTGATCAAATATTCTAAGTATACCAATTTAAATTTTAATTTTTGTGTACCAATTGATATGACGTGTAATTTATCAATCCATTAATATGACGTGTGATTTATCACTTTTATATTGGTAGGTGTTTAAGACATTATCACGTCAAAAAAATGATAAAATATTAAATCTACTTATAAAAATAAGACAATTCATATACCACATCAGTTGATACACAAGAGTTGAGATTTGAGTTGGTATCCCTAACATTATTCATCCAGTGTATCCTTTTTTTTTCTTTGTTGGTACGTCATGATCATATCTTATTAAAATTGATTTTTCCAAGTTAGAATATGCAAGGAATAGGTATCCAAATCTACACGCTACAATAATTAATTAATTCCCCTTTACTTAATTTAATTACCAAAAAATCCGAGATCTTAACTAATTAGAAAGTTAAATTTATGAAGTCGACACAAGAAGGTTTGTCAAATTAAGAAGGGAAAAAATCTCTGTTGTTGTGGGAAAAAATCTCGAACCCTACATCATGCATTAGATGAGCGCCACGTGGCATAACCGAAAGAATTAATGGTCATACCAGCTCAGCACCAAGTATCCTACAAAATAAAATTCAGTATAGGCCAACCGTAAGATGAGAATAACACCCTCATAAGAGGTCGACCGTACCATGGAGTCTAGATACGCAAGAGGTCAACCGTACAGAGGAGTCAAGACATGCAAGAGGTCGACCGCTCCTGGTAGACGTAGGCGAAGATGGCTTGATAAGCACCTGAGGAGCCGATTGCAAGTAGCTTGAGAAAGAACTGAACCTGCAGGATATCTTACTTGACTTGTAAGCAAGTGATAAGTGCACAAATTTACACTTTTAATGTTCATAATTGTCAAATTATTTTATCAAATTTGTGATTTTAATTTCAAATATTCCTACATTTAGAGAATTTAATTTTAATTGGATTTATTTTATTTTTCAGGTTTTTGTAGAAAATAATTGGATTTGGGTTAGTTTACCAAGCAAAACTCAAAAGTTGAACCCAAGAAAAGCCCAATTCGGCCCAGAGCCCATCAGCCCTTCAGCCAGCCGTCCGCCGAGCTGAGCCGATTGGAGCCGAGCCGTACGAGTTTCCCCGCGCTGCCACGTGTCACCGTCTGGCGTGCCGCAGAAGTGTGGGGCCCAGGTGTCCCCTTGTGCACGCGCGCTTGGCGCGCACGGTGCTTTTCCCCGGCGAGTCTCTTTCACGCGCGCGTCAGGGCATTCAGCGTTTTCTCTCCGCGTGGGTCCCGCATTCTAGCAGCTCGACAATCTCCATCCGCCACGTGTCCGGTGGGGCCCAGCTGTGCAGCAGCTTCTTCCTCTCCGGAATCAGCGAGCGCCACGTGTCGCAATTGATGCAGCTGTCGGCCATTTCTTCATTTTCGCGAATCACAGCGCGACACGTGTCCCGCCCGTTGGGTTTCTTCCGCTAGATGCGTTTGTGTCCGTTATGATGGTTTTTCTCCACCATTATCAGCCTTTACCACCAAATTGAAGCCTTGTAAATCCAATTTATTTGGATAAACGTTCCTTTTCTTCTTATTTTCTGTTTACAACTTTTGGCATGATCCAAAAACTCTATAAATAGGGGCTATGTCATAGTTTGTTGTGGTGAATTTTTAGCTTAAGTTTAGACATTTTCTTCTCTTTGGTGAGGTTAGAGAGAAACTTATATGTGAAGTGATCTTGAGTGGATTTTGATTCTCCATTTGTTCTTTAATGTTTATATATTTGAGTGATTAATTTTCTTCTATCTTCTTCTAATTTCTCATATTGATATATTATATTGTCAACTTTTATATAAATCTAGTCAAGCTCTTTTTATGTGATTGTTGCATGATACTATATATTGATAGATATCATTTTATGAGTAGTCTTTTACTGCATTATTGCCAATGGTATATTGTCGCTCTTAGATTTCTCTTAAGATGATTTTTCCTAATACTAAACGTAAGAATTTTACTCACTCAAATACATTTTAATTCACATGTTCTTCAAATATATATTTTCCGATTGTTAGTTTGGGATGTGAAACTTTCAATTGAGTAATCTTGAAGATCAAAATCCATTCGGGTGAACGAAGCATATAGGGGAATCTCGACGCCTTACCGGTTTTAAATATGATTTTCTCCTATATTTTTCTTAAACTTTAACTTCTCAACAAAAATTCCATTCTCTTTTATTTTTACTTTATTATTTATCTCCTAAAGCTTTTTATTTGCTAATCTTTTCTTGTTCAATTTGTCTCCTCCTTGTGGATACGACCGCCCTAACTGTGCTACCGCGACCGCTTTATTTTCAACACGTTTGGGCGTAATCAGCAAGCGAAGTTGGTAGGGGAGCAGGTAAAAGACCACTATTGACCTAAGAAACTCCACCCACCGAGGACTATACATCCAAAAATATGGAATGTAATGATGGAAATGAAAAAAGTTGACGGAAGACAAAACAAATATATACGAGAGAAAATGGGCTGGGTAGGGGTGCATTCTATAACTTGTATTCTCAGAAGATAGTAAAGATTTTTCTCCTCTCACAGTGGATGTAGCTCTTGAACAAAATGAACCACTATAAATCTTGGTGTTCTTTCTTCTTGATTATCTTTAGGAAAATATTCTCAAAACAAAATTAAGTCGTTAAAACACGTTAACCACTTTTAAATCCGAATTAATCCAGTTGACGAATTTTCACCGTCAACAATTGGCGACTCCGCTCAGACCGAACCCAGATTCTTTGGTTAACGTGAAGAATTCCAATGAGAAAAATCCAATTATAAG